CGCCACTTTCGAGGGCTGCTGGTGGGTCCTGCGGACTGAGGCACCGCGGGGACCTGAGCGAGACCTCGCCGTCCCTGGGGGGCTGCGATCTGCGAAACTGTCGCCATTTTCGAGGGCTGCTGGTGGGTCCGGCGGGGTGAGGCACCGCGCAGATCTGAGCGGGGCCTCGCCGTCCTTGGGGGGGCGGCGACCTGCGAAATCGTCGCCTCTTTCGAGGGCTGCTGGTGGCGGGTTCAGCGGAGGCACCAGGCAGACCTGAGCGAGACATCGCAATGCTTGGGGGGCTGCGAGCCTCACGAATGCCGCTCGCAGAAGTATGTGCGCCCATGTCACGTCATCACCTCCGTATAACGTCCCCCGAGCTACTCATGCCCCGCATTGCGCAGGGGTTGGGTACGTCGCCAGGGTAAGTTCCCAACCCTCCTTGGCTGGGTATTCGTTTTGAATATGGCACTGTGGTCGCGTCCCTCCTCATCCTCCTTCTCCTGCTTCTCCCGCCTATCGCTTCCCTCTTGTCTCCTCTCGCCTTGTGGGTGCCGCATGTGTGTGCGTGTGCAGATTGCATGCGGTACCTCTTGCGTGCATCTTGCACGGGGGGCTGCGATATGCGACACGGCTGCGACGTTCGAAGGCTGCTGGTCGGTCCTGCGGACTGAGGCACCGCGCTGACCTGAGCGAGACCTCGCGTCCCCGGGGGGCTGCGATATGTGACACTGTCGCCACGTTCGAGGGCTGCTGGTGGGTCAAGCGGAGTGAGGCACCGCGCAGATCTGAGCGAGACCTCGCCGTCCCTGGGGGGCTGCGATCTGCGAAACTGTCGCCACGTTCGAGGGCTGCTGGTGGGCCCTGCGGACTGAGGCACCGCGCAGATCTGAGCGAGACCTCGCCGTCCCTGGGGGGGCTGCGATCTGCGACACCGTCGCCACTTTCGAGGGCTGCTGGCAGGTCCTGCGGACTGAGGCACCGCGGGGACCTGAGCGAAACCTCGCCGTCTCTGGGTGGCTGCGATCTGCGAAACTGTCGCCAGTTTGGGGGGCTGCTGGTGGGTCCTGCGGACTGAGGCACCGCGCAGATTGCGAGGGCTGCTGCTGGGTCCTGCGGACTGAGGCACCGCGCAAATCTGAGCGAGACCTCGCCGTCCCTGGGGGGCTGCGATCTGCGACACTGTCGCCACTTTCGAGGGCTGCTGGTGGTCCTGCGGAGTGAAGCACCGCGGGGACCTGAGCGAGACCTCCCGTCCCTGGGGGGCTGCGATCTGCGACACTGTCGCCACGTTCGAGGGCCGCTGGTGCGTCCTGCGGACTGAAGCACCGCGGGGACCTGAGCGAGACCTCGCCGTCCCTGGTGGGCTGCGATCTGCGACACCGTCGCCACTTTCGAGGGCTGCTGGTGGGCCCTGCGGACTGAGGCACCGCGGGGACCTGAGCGAGACCTCGCCGTCCCTGGGGGGTCTGCGATATGGTACACCGTCGCCACTTTCGAGGGCTGCTCGGGGGTCCTGCGGACTGAGGCACCGCGGGGACCTGAGCGAGACCTCGCCGTCCCTGGGGGGCTGCGCTCTGCGACACTGTCGCCAGTTTCGAGGGCTGTTGGGGGGTCCTGCGGACTAAGGCACCGCGGGGACCCGAGCGAGACCTCCCGTCCCGGGGGGGCTGCGATCTACGACACCGTCGCCACTTTCGAGGGCTCCTGGTGGGTCCTGCGGACTGAGGCACCGCAGGGGACCTGAGCGAGACCTCGCCGTCTCTGGGGGGCTGCTATCTGCGACACCGTCGCCACGTTCGAGGGCTGCTGGTGGGTCCTGCGGACTGAGGCACCGCGGGGACCTGAGCGAGACCTCGCCGTCCCTGGAGGTTGGGGCTGCGTTAGTAACCACTACGACGCCCATATATCTTGATCGGGGGCCTGCGAGCCTTCCGATTGCTGCCCGCAAAATCACATGCGTCCATGTTACGTCATCACACCCGTTGTAGCAATCCTGCTGTATGTTTGCCCCGCATTGCGCAAGGGTTGGGTACGTCGCCAGGGTAATTTCCCAAAAAATCCTCGATCTTCGAGGGTTGGAAGCGGGAAAACGGCAGAAGGAAAAAAACAAAAAAACAAAAAAAAAAAAAAAAAAAAAAAAAAAAAAAAAAAAAAAAAAAAACTATGCTGGGCTCTCTCGGGACGGCTCTCGCAGCTCTCTTGGGCTGTTCTTTTGGCCTCGTCGGGGTCTTTGGGGGGCCTCTCAGGGATCGGGGATGTGTTGGGGGCCTCTGGGGGGTCCCAGAGGCCTCTCGGAGGTCGCTGGAAGTCTCCTGCTCCCGCTCTTGGGCATATTTTGGGCCTGTTCTGGGATAGTCTGGGGCTGTCCTGGGCGCCTCTTCGGCAGTCTTGGAGCCTTCTTGGCTCGTCTTGGGGCCGTCCTGAGGGTCTCATGGGTGGTCTTGGGGCGGTCTTGGGAGCCTCTTCGGCGCTATTGGACCATTGGAAGCTCGAAAACGCGAGAAGCCAAAAACATTGCAAAAACAAATGGAAATCGACGATTTGAGCCTCTTCGGGCCGTCCGGGGACGCCCCTCGGACCTCTCTTGGGGTCTCTTGGAGGCCACCTGGGAGCCTCGAGAGCCGTCCGAAGGCTGACTTGGGCTGCTTGGAAACATCGTGGACCATCATTTCGCATTCTGGGTGCTCCTGGGAGGCGTCTTGGGCCCTCTGGGGCCCTGTGGAGGCTCCCCGGAAAGGCCTCTTGGGCTCCTGGGGGGCGTTCTTGGACGGTTTGGGCGCCTCGTGGGCCGTCTTGGCCCCCTCGTGGGCCGTCTTGGGGCCGTCTTGGGGGCATCCTCGACCGGCTTGGGTGCCTCTCGGGCCGTCTTGGATGCAGTGGACGCCCAGAAGGCAAACACGCCAAAAATATTAGTTTCCCATAGGAAATCGACTATTTTTGCTGATTGGGCCACTCTCGGGGTGCCTCTTGGGGTGTCTTCGGGGAGCCTCTTTTGCTGTTTTTGTCGGGTCTCATGGGGGCCACTTGGGGCTTCTGGGCCCCTTCTTGGAGCCTCTTGGGGCCTCCTAGGGGTCTCTTGGGCCGAAAGGCCCGAATTTCCGGTTCCTCGTCCCCGTCTTGGGCGCCGCCTTGGGGCGTTCTTGGGCGGTTTGGGCGCCTCGTAGGCCGTCTTGGCCCCCTCGTGGGCCGTCTTGGGGCCCTCTTGGGGGCATCCTCGACCGGCTTGGGTGCCTCTTGGGCCGTCTTGGATGCAGTGGACGCCCACAAGGCAAACACGCCAAAAATATTAGTTTCCCCATAGGAAATCGACGATTTTTGCTGATTGGGCCACTCTCGGGGTGCCTCTTGGGGTGTCTTCGGGGAGCCTCTTTTGCTGTTTTTGTCGGGTCTCATGGGGGCCTCTTGGGGCTTCTGGGCCCCTTCTTGGAGCCTTTTGGGGTCTTCTAGGGTCTCTTGGGCCAAAAGGCCCGAATTTCCGGTTCCTCGTCCCCGTCTTGGGCGCCGCCTTGGGCAATTCTTGGGCGGTTTGGGCGCCTCGTGGGCCGTCTTGGCCCCCTCGTGGGCCGTCTTGGGGCCGTCTTGGGGGCATCCTCGACCGGCTTGGGTGCCTCTTGGGCCGTCTTGGACGCAGCGGACGCCCAAAAGGCAAACACGCCAAAAGCATCAGTTTTCCCTTCGGAAATCTGCGATTTTTGTTTATTGGGCTCTCTCGGTGTGCCTCTTGGGGCGTCTTTCGGGCCTTCGGGGGCCTTCTTGGCGTCATGGGAGTCGTCTTGAAAAGCGTCTGGAGCCATCGCTGCGGCCTCCTGGGGCCTCCCTGCAGCCTCTTGGGGCCCTGTTGGCCCCGGGACGCCGAAACCCAGTAAAAACAAAGGAAAACGACGCCCGGTCCCCCCATGCGCCGTCGGGGTCTCGGTCCCAGGCCCCCGGGCCTCGTACACGGGAATACATATATATATATATATATATATATATATATATATATATACACACACACACATGTGCATACATGCATACATGCGTACATACATGTATCCATGCATACATACATACATGCATACGTACATACAGGCATGCATGCATGCATGCATGCATGTATGCATTCATGCATTCATACATACACAGATACATACACACACGCACATGAGAATATGTGCACGCGGTGCACGGTGACACGACCGCCCCCCAAGATTCTGGGAGTTTCGTACCCGTCGCACCAAGGTGCCGCCGACGAGATGAAACACCCCTTCTCTCCTCTTCCTGGGGGGTTCATGCAGGGGGCACGGGGTGCCGCCGATGACCCGCAACCCACCCACCCCTGCGCGAGTTGGGGGTAAGGGATTTCTTAGAGCTTAGAGCTTCCTGAGAATTCCTGAGAAGTTGCTCAAGATTCCTGAAGATTCCTGAGGCTTCCTGAAGGAAGCCCTGCACAAACTGAAGGTACTGAGGGATCCTGAGGGATCCTGACGTTCCCTGAAGGATTCCGAGGATTCGTGAAGGACTACAACTGACTCCGAATGGGATCCTGAGAATCCATGAGCGCTCGCGGGCGACCCACGGGCGCTCCCACGCACTCCCGGAGGTCCCGAGCATCCCATAGGCTCCGAACAGCCCGAAAGCTCCGAGCATCCCCGGAGGTCAGGCTTCGAGCCAACACCGGCGGTGCCCGCAGCATCCTCCCGAGGGCTCCGCGCATCTCAGGGAGGTTTCGCACCAGCCCGCACCGGCGGTCCCACCAGAAGGACATCCCCAGGATTAGGGCGACGCAATCTATACATATCCACTGCTCCCTGGCCAGGCCCATCCTGAACACAGCAGCTGTGTATACGCCACGCCCTCCGGGTTTGGCCAGGAGGGCGTATACACAGCTCCTGGGTTCAGGATGGGCCTGGCCAGGGAGCAGTGGATATGTATAGACTTCGTCCCCCGACAGGATGAGCGATCACAGGGGGCGGGGGTCGCTCCACACTGGGCACCGCCGACGCACGTGCGGTCTGACTCCATTCCACGGATGCCTCCGTGCCGATCTTTTTGGCGCACGTGATGCGGTAGCCAGCGCCGAAGCGGCGCTTCAGGAACAGCGACGAGCCACAGCACTGCAGGTCGCCGTCGGCCATGATGGCGATGCGGTCGCCCAGGATGTCGGCCTCGTCCATGAAGTGCGTGGTGAGCACCGTCACACGCCCTTCCCGGGAGCCCCTGATCAGATTCCACGTGGACCTCCGGCTGAACGGGTCCATGCCCGAGGTGGGCTCGTCCAGGAACGTGGCCCGCGGCTGGCCCATCAGGGCCAGGCACAGAGACAGCTTGCGCTTCTGGCCCCCCGACAGCGACCCGGCGCGGGTCATGGCCTTCTCTGTCAGCCCGACCTGAAGGGGCCCTGGGACACACAAATAAATACTCACAAACAAGATGATTCCCCATAGTTTCCCGTATCTTCTGGGTTTTTTGTCTTCCCCCCACTTCCCATATTTTCCCATATTTTCTGGGAAATCGAAAATGAATTGTGTCTGTGTGTTTTTGTTCCCTCCTGACGACCTGCGTGAGCATGTCCTCCGAGCTCGCGACGACCTCCGAGGCGGAGACGCCACGGAGGCGCGCGTAGACCCTGAGGTGCTCCAGGACGGTGAGCTCCAGCCAGAGCACGTCGTGCTGAGGGCACACGCCGATCACGCGGCGGATGTCCCGCATGTCGGTCAGAATCGAGTGGCCGGCGACGAACGCCTCTCCTCTGCTGGGGGCCACCATGCCAGTCAGCATGTTGATGGTCGTGGATTTCCCTGCCCCGTTGTGCCCCAGAAGTGCAAGAATCTGTCCATCGTACATTGTAAGATCGAGGCCACTCACGGCCACCTTTGCCATGAGCCAACAGGAAGGGTCCTCAGGGAGACGAGTCCTGGACACCAGAGGGCTCCAGTCGACCCGGGTCGACTCTCGACTCTTGACGGTCCTAAGACTCCGGGAGCGGCCCGAGCGGCCCAGGGGAGGGCGGAAAGCCTCGCGGCCCCCCTCCCCGAGGACCCCCCTTCGGCTCCTGGCGGCACCTTCGGGCCACCGGAGGTCCGGAACTCCTTGCGCAGCCCCACCGTCTGCACGAGGGTCCCCGACGCCCGGGAGCGCGCCCGGACCGCCTCCGGCACGGCCTCCACGGTGTCCCTGCCGGCGCAGAGGGCGGGCGGTGCCTCCGGGCCCACGGCGCGGCCCTCGCTGGCGGCGTGCAGGCCGGGGCCGCTGGGGCGGTCGAGCCAGTAGGACGCGAGGAGCGGGAAGTGCGGCGGCAGGCGGGTGCCGTACTCCTTGGGGAGCACCTGCGAGGGGCAGCGGCGGGGGAGGGGGGGAGCTGGCTCGGGGGGGGGGGCATCGACCTGGCAGCGGCGACGCAGGGCCGATATGGCGGCAATGGGCCCCCGACAGCGGCTCCGAGCGCTCCAGGGGGGGGGGGAGCAGACCCCCACAGGCGATCGATCGGCGAAGGGGGGTCGATGCGCGTCGAAATTGGCTACTGCATGCGAAAGAATCTGACCCCGGGGGCCGCATTTCGCAAATCGACCAACACTAGAAAACTGCACTTGATTTCGAGGAGGGCTGCGGTATTGCTTTATGTAGACCTCAAGGTGCCTGTAACGCCGCGGCTTCCTATGTCCACCACCGTGGCCGCTTGCGCACACTGCCAAGTAATTGCTGGTAGGGTTCTGATATTGTTTAAAACACCCTCCCTCTCCCAGCAAGGTGGTGCGTACACCGCCTCCCTTCACCTGGGTGGTCCGACGCGGCCCTACAGGTCTTTCTGGGGAGGGGGGAGGGGAGGGAGAGGGGGGAGGGGAGGGGAGAGGAGAGAGGGGAGCCTGGGAGAGAGAGGATGGGGGCCCGGGAGGGCGGAGGGGGGAGGGGAGGATCGTGAAGATCTTGAGAGGGGGAAGGAGGGAGGGAGGGGAGGGGAAGGGGGTGGAGGGCCATCAGACCCCTGCCGGCGATCGATGGGCGATTGGAAATCGACGCGCTGCCACCCAGGGCCCATCCCCCGCCCTTTGTCGCCGCCACGGCGTCAGGGCGGCGGGACGAGAGGAGAATCTGGGCGCACGAGCGCTGTGGACAAAAACACCTGCAACATGCAGACCTCCTTTTCGGCACGTTCCGCTGGGAAACACAGCCACAAACGCACCTCTTCTCGGTGGACAGAACACGAAAACACACACACACACAAACACACACACACACACACACACACACACACACACACACGCACACAAACACAAACACACACACACACACACACACTCACACACACTCTTTTGATCGCGAGCGCAAACAGAAAGGCCGCGCGCCGTCCAGAGCTACCGCTAACTGGCAGAAGCCCAAATTCGCACCAGAGAGAGGGGAGAGGAGACAACGGAGGACAGCGGGAGGTGAGACAAGCCGGGGCCGCGCGGCGCTCACAGGAGGGGTGCCTTCGGCAGCAACAGCAGCAGCAGCAGCAGCCAGGGGTGCAGGCCAAATTGGCGAGAATTGGCTGGCAGTGTGGTGTCCCGTGACCGCGGCGAGGGGCAACCCCGCGAGGAATAGCAGGCCGCAAGCACCCGCGCCAGTCCGGGGGGCAGCACGCAGCGGGCGGAGCGGGGCAAGGGCTACGCACCCCAGGGGTGGCGGCGGAACGAGTGAGCGGCGACTGGTCAGCAGTGCGCGCCGCGGGACAGGCACGCCGAAAGCAGACTGAAAGCAGCCGCGCGGCGGCACCAGCGAATAAGCCAGCTGGCATGCAGGCGCTCGACGGAGACACACACACACGCACACACCTGCGTCTGTTTTTTCCACTGACCTCCTTTCGACACGTTCCAGAGGAGCCTTTCCGGATCGTCCGTCCAGCGATCAGGGCACGAGGGCACGGCGACCTGACCCTGCGGCCTGTACGGGCCGCTGGCGCGGCAGCTCACGCGCCTTGGGGCGGCGCCCGCGCGCGGCTTCACGCGGGCAGCCTGCGCGCGGAGGTCCGCTCAGCCGCCCCTGTGCCGCCAAAGCGTGGCCAGATCCACTGCCACTTGGTCGTGTTCCGAGGGCTCGGGACACGACTCCGAGGCGGTGGATGTGGACACACTCTGGCGGTGGAGTCCCCGCTTTGAAGCGCCACTCGCCTGGTCCAGGTACCAGCCGAGCAGAGTCCAGAACACGATGGAGGCGGCCATCGCGCCCAAGACGGTCGCCATGGTGCTGTTGTCCACGGGCCAGTCGAGTTTGTCCCAGGTGGCACCGACCTTCGCCGCCTCGAACTTTGCTAGCATGTCTAGCCCTGCGCTGAGTGCGGCATTGGGGAAGGGCAGCATCAACAGGAGGACCGCCGCGCTGGGCTCCTGCCCGTTCCTCTTCTGGGAGCCGTAGACAACCCACTGCAGCATCATCACTACCATCGTAACGATGCCCCCCGTCCGGGACTTGTTGAAGAAACAATGCATGAACCAACCGAACGACAGGAAGGACATGCACCACAGCCAAAAGAAAACAAATATCACCGTCCCACTGGACAGTGGGAAAATCTCGATGCCAGCAACCACAGCGAATACCATGCAAAGAACGCTGAAAATCCGCTACCGTACCCCCTGGCACGGTGAGGCGTGTTAGAACCTGTGCCAGCACGGAAATGGAAAGAGCGCTTCAGGACCTTGCCCGAGAAGGCTACTGGCACGGCTCGCGCTTGGGAGCTGTTCGGCGCTAGAAGTTGCGTCACCGTTCGCTCTTGGGAGCCTTGGTGTAAAAGGCTATTCCACGTCAGCGCTCGCTTTTGGGAGCCTTGACGTCAAAAACACGTGGTTCCAGCTGGGGACCACGCTGGGGGGTCATATGAATTGATTTTGTCTGACTCTTATTGCCCCCCCCCACGCTGGAAGTTCCCAGATGACCACGTGGTGGATATCTCCCCCTTGGGTGGCCCGCGCACGTAAAATCCGTGCTTCCTTCTCGGAACCACCATGTGAGATACCCCTTCTGGACGGCCTGGACATGTAACAACACGTGGTTCCAGCTCGGGGACACCCTGGGTGGCCTGGACAAGTAGAAACACGCAGTCCAAGTTCGGGACCACCATTTTAGACACCCCGCTGGGTGGCCTGAACACGTGAAAACGTATGGTTCCATCTGGGGACAGACATCTTAGATACCACCTTGGGCGACCTGGTCACATGAAAAGAAATATGTCGCCTGAGACCTGCTGGGCATTCTGGCCCTCAGGAGAGGAGCCATGGAAGGACAAAACAACCTTCTCGCTCGAGACATCCTCCACACATTCTGCAAACAAGCGTTCCGCTTGAGACATCCGCAAACAAACGAACACGTTCACTTTACCATGTGTCGTATCGATCGGAATTTCACATGATCGACCCACGAACCCAGAAAGGGATACAGAAATGTGAACATGCATATTTCGGAACACCAAACAATTTTCAATGCTCAAGGTAACGCTGGTGATGTACCATGCCAGGTGCTGTGTTATGCTGCGCTGTGGTCAATTGGCATGTGCTATGCCGCGTTGAACTGTGCTGTGCTCTATTGAGTTGTGGATCAGGTCACTATTGGCATCAGAATCTTGACCGAACTGATCTGGATCTGAAATTCGAACTGCCTGGACGCATATCTCGAACTGGTCGCAATCGAAACGCGCGGGGCACTCAACCGGCTCGAATTCGAGATCTGATTCAGTTCCGTAACGGCCAAGAGGGGGCGACACCGAATCGACGCGACACGCACCGAGAGCGGACGGATCGAAGCTCGTCGAACCAAAACGCCACGAGCTGCATCAAGACGAACCGAATCGATACGAATCGAGACGACAGCCGAACCGACCCGAATCGAAGCGAGACAGGGCAAACAAAGACGAATACGCTTGGGTTTACCATCCTGAAACTGCATGGCGTCGCCTGACGAAGGAGCCGCACTCCGACGGGCCAGGGTCCCTCGCAAATAACCACGGCCGCGACTTGGCGTAAAGTGATTTTGATACGTGCTGTGTTGCATCGTGCTGCGTCATGCTGTGTTGAACTGTGCTGTTCTCTATTGCGTTGTGCATCAAGCTATCCTTGGCACCCGAATCCTGTCCGAACTGATCTAGATCTTAAGCTCAAGCTGCCTACGCGCACGGTTCACCTGAAGCTGGCTGCAGTCGTAACATGCGGGGCGTTCAACCAGCTCGAACTCAAAATGTGCTTCAGTTCCGAAGTGGGACGAACCGATGGGGGGCCGAATCCGAGCCGAACCGAGGCCCCCGCACGACACCTCCTCAAACAATGCAAAACCAGCATTTCGCGAGAGGCATCCTCGACACACCCTGCAGAAGGAAGCTTTCGCTGCAGGCAAGGCCCTCGCTCCAGACACCCACAACAGATACTGCAGAACGAACGCTTCGCTGCAGACATCCCCAACACATCCTCATGTTAGTGATTCGCCTGGGCGACCTGGGCACGTGAAAACCAAAGTGTCGCTCGAGACAGCCTCAACATTTCCGCATGTTAGGAATGCGCCTGGGCCACCTGGAACAAGCGTGAAAACATGCGGGTCCCTTTCGACCCAGAGCGGAGCAAGCGTGAAAGCACGTGGGTCCTGTTCGCGCAAGAGCGGAAGAAGCATGAAAACACGTGGGTCATTTTCGCCCCAGAGCGGAACAAGCATGAAAACACGAGGTCCCCCTTCGCGCCAAAGCAAAACAGACATCAAAAACACACATAACTCCCATGTCGCCCTCAGAGCGGAACAAGCGTGAAAACACGTGTGTCCCTTCTGCCCCAAAGCGAAACAAGCGTGAAAGCACATGGGCCCCTTTCGCGCCAGAGCGGGACACACGTGAAAACACGCGGGGCCCTTTTCGTCACACAGCGGAGCAAGCAAGAAACCCGGCATCTCTCGCACATTACTCCGCCAGCCGCCGTCAAACTTGGTACCCGGGACAAGTTCGTCATCCTCGAAGAGAACCTCGGGCTTGCGCCCTTTCCGGAAAAATCGACCCCGAGCCACTGCGCCCAATCACGCGGTGCTCGTGGGAGCCTCGGCGTCAAAACTGCGTTCGTCGTTGGGCCGTCTGGGGGGGGTCCTCTGGGAGACCCTTTCGGGCGTCTTCGGGTACTCTTGGGCCGTCATGGAGCCCTCTTGGGCGGTCTTGCGGGGTTTGGTCCGCTTTGGGCCCTCTCGGGGCCATCTTCGGCCCTCTTTGCGACGCTTGGGCCCTGCTCGACCTTCTCGAGGGCTTCTCAAAGCCGCTCGGAGTTTTGTTGTGGGGCCTCCTGGGGCCCTCTTAGGTCGCATTGGGGTTCTCTTGAGCCGTCATAATGTTTTTTCTTGGGCCACCTCAGGGCCTTGCTACCATCACCTCTGGCCCAGGCGGCTTGTCGCACGGCCACGGGGGGTCGAGCTGCTCGTTGACGAAGTAGCCGCCGAGCTGCAACTGCAATTGTGTTACATCGACCGCGCGGGGCCGCGTCCTCGCAGGAGCGCTTAGAACGGGGATGGGAATGAGAGGAGCAAGGGTATCATCGTCATAAACATCGTCGTCTTCTACACCGCAATCGCCACCATCACTACCACCACCACCAGCTCCACCTCCTGACCATCATTTTTCATCGACAGTTCACGAATGTTTTGTGTAGCACGCTGAATCGGTTGCCGATCTGACTTCAGTTAGATATCTTTTTGGCGAAGGAGGGAGCGCGACCACAAAATTTCACCCGACTCGGCCTCGACCGCTGTGCGAATCAAAAGGCCACCAGGCAAACGGAGAACACCACACGAGCCGACCTGTGATAGGCAAACACATGCGCCGAAACGTGGTCTGAAGTACGGGCGAGCGTGGCGCCTGCGAAACGAGTGCGAGAGAGAGAGAGAGAGCTAGAAGGAGAAAGCGCAAGGGAGGGAAGAAAAAGAGAAAGAAGCGAGATGTCTAATGCGGTCGAACGGCGGCTGGCACTAGACACGAGCTGTATAAGCAAAGCTGGGACCGCACGCAGATGGGAAAGAACACAAATCCACAAGCCGTTCCGGCAGAGCGGGCAGGGCAGGCTGAACCCGAGCCTCGTAACGGCCGCACACCTCCGCCATACGTTGGGGCGCAGCGAAACATTTCGCGAAAGGAAGACACGATCGACCCACGAACCCGGAAAGGGATATGGAAATGTGAGGCATGGGAATGTTTGCAAAACAACAGGCATATGCAATAATGAATGTATCGATATTGGTGTACCGTGCCCAAGGCTGTGCTGTGCCGTGCTGAACTGCGATGTGCCATGCCGCGATTGTGCTCTATAGCGTTGCGGATCGAGTCCTCCTTGGCATTCGAGTCCTCACCGAACTGATCTGGATCTTAAGCTCGAGCTGCCTGAGCACATAGTTGCCGCCCCAGAGCTAGTTGAAGTGGAAACGTGGAGGACGTTCAATCAAATCGACCTCAAAATCGGACTCAGCTCCAAAAAGGAACGACACGACACGGGACACAGGCTCACGGACGCGCCACAGGATGCGCCAGGGGCGCAATACGTAGGGGATGCGCCAGGGGACGTGTCAAGGGACGCATCAGGGGTGTCAGGGACCTGCCACGGGACATGCCAAAGCGCGTGCCATGGGGCGGCCAAATAACGTCATGCCAAAGGACGTTGCAAAGGGCCCGCCACGGAACGGGCCGGGAAAACGCCTGGGGACGAGCAAGGAAACGCGACAGAGGACGAGCTAGGGAGCGTGCCACACCAAGTAGCGTGCTAGGGGACGTGCCAGGGCACGTCACGCCAGGGGACGCGCCACGGACGGGCGGGGTTGGACTGCGCCGCACTCTACTGCGACAAGCGTTTCGCTCGAGACATCCTCAACACCTCCTCATGTTAGACGTCCGCCCTGGCGACCTGAACACGTGAAAACAAGCGTCTAGCTCGAGACGTCTTCGACACCTCCTCATGCTAGACATCTGCCTGAGCGACCTGGACGCGTGAAACAAAGCGTTTCGCTCAACACATCCTCAACACATCCATGCTAGACATCCGCCTGGGCGACCTGGATACGCGAAAACGAACGGTTCGCTCGAGGCATCCCCCGATCATCTTCATGTCAGACATCCGCCTGGGCGACCTGGGCACGTGAAGACAAGCGTTTCGCTCAACACATCCTCAACACGTCCTCATGATAGACATCCGCCTGGGCGACCTGGGCACGTGGAAGTAAGCGTCTCGCTCGAGGCATCCTCAACACACCTTCATGCTAGACATCCGCCTGGGCGACCTGGACACGTGAAAACAAGCGCCCCGCTCGAGACCTCCTCAACACACCCTCATGCTAGACATCCGCCTGGGCGACCTGGACACGCGAAAACAAGCGTCTCTCTCAAAATATCTGCAAAACATCCTCATGCTATACATCCGCCTGGGCGACCTGGACACGCGAAAACAAGCGTCTCTCTCAACACATCCTCAACACATCCTCATGCTATACATCCGCCTGGGCGACCTAGACGCGTGAAAACAAGAGTCTGGCTCGAGACATCCTCAACAAATCCTAATCCTAGACATCTGCCTCGGCACAGTTTCGCTCAGCACATCCTCAACACATCCTGATGCTAGAC